CAGTGAGTCTTGTCATTCTGAAGACCAAGCCACAAAGCCGTCAGAGACAAGTGAAGTAAATCATTTGACCAACGTCCTGCCAGAACTGCTACACGATCACCCCTTTTTCCGTCCTGGCTCACCTATATACTCCTTACCCACTCCCGCCCTATCACAATTTCTGACTTGTTACATCCCACTCATAAAAAGATGTGCTATCTTTGACAAGTTTAGTGTGGCCTCATCGCACCTGCTATTCACCCTGACCCTCCTAACCGGATCACCTTCGTGGTCGCGTAGATCCATTTCTTATTCTTCTGGTTGACCGATTTTACGCGGTCTCAGTCCCAGTGTGCGTGTTACTCCAGGCGCTGTTTCTCAATGCCTTAGAAGGACGTACACCGCTGGCCCATCAAGCAGAGCACCCAGGCTCTGATTCCCATGTTAGGCATTGTCTTGACGGGTCGTCCTCTAGATAAAAACCTTGTTACTTAAGCATACTGTGGACGCCTATCTCCGGTCGCAAGCGGCAGTACATTATTCCTACAATGACAAATTTCTGTGTCGATTGTGTTTATCCGTCTACCTACTTCCCTGAATGCGAGGCCCCCAAAGATCTACTGGTTTCTGCAAACAGACATCACTCACTGATAACGACTTCGCTTGATTACCGAAATTCCCCTTCCCTTTTTCTCCGGTTAGTGGTGGATCCTTGATCCATGCGCCTCCTTTTTTGCAGGTATTGCCGTATTCTTGTTTTTCCCGAGTTTACTTAAGCAATAAGCAAAGTCATCACTAACTCTACCTTCCTCCAATCCTCTGTTCATTCAAATTTTTTTCATAAAGTATGTCAATCGCCTCCCTAATCTTCCGCTCCTTTGCGTTTTCACCATGAGACTCTTCTTTCGGTTGCTTTCTAATTGATCTAGTGTCCGGCATGTGCGATGCATTCGGCTAATTCTGATCTTTCGATATCCATTTCCCTGCAGAAGCTCTGATGATCCTTGATTCGTATGCTAATTTTTCTCACTCTTTCGCCAATATATTTCTCTTTCCAGACGTTTCATGCCAAGCACTGAACTCCTGAATAATCCTTTGTCCACCCTCGCACGCTGTATTGGTAGACTTGTGAAATGTTGCTTGTCCCTTAATGCTCACCTAGACATTCCATTTTCTTAATACTGGCCGTAGTTTTTTATTAGTTCGCAGGAAGGTAGGCATATGCACTTTTGAAAATACTTCTCCGTCCGTACTGTTCTGCCATCGGCTTTTCACAGCCGAGTATTTGTAGTACTTCGCTTGAGTGGCCGTTACCGAGGTATATTCGAGTCAAATTGTTCAATTCTTTATCCCGGAATTCCTCATCCTTTAAGAGTAGGCTTCGGATGATTATGCTCGTAATTATTCCTATCCTGACTATAGTCGAACCCCAGTTATGCATATAACACGCAGAAGTTTTGGATTGAGATGCTAATGCAATAATATAAAGCAAAAAAAAACTTTAGTATAAAAACATGAGCGAAATGGAATGGTCGTCTGCTCATTAGCACTTCGACTCAAGGAAATTTAAATATAAATGTCTACTATTAGAAATACAGGAATTAGTTAAAGCACGTTTAATTTTACATAATAAAGTACTGGCTACGGATAGTAAGTTTACGGCAAAATTGATTTTTTGAGGAGGTCATTGGCGATATCATAGGCACCAAGAAATAGACACCCGCCCATCGAAAGAAAGAGAACTCGTGGGAAAACACCGGCAAAAAGTCTAAAATTGAAGTTGAAACAGGATAAATACAAATATTTGACACATGTAATCCAAATGTAGAAAACTCACCCGCGAATTCCCTTTTCTTTGTATACTGTATATAGGACCAATCTGACATTACCAGAAGCCAGAAGCGAACCAGACTTGCAAATTAAAGCAAAAACGTAAGTACCTTCGAAAGCATAATCCTGGTTTTTGCAACATCAAGAGGAGTTGTCAGTGCCCCAGCAATGGCCCCTGACAGAGCCCCACATATCGCAGAAGCTGTATAGGATAAATGCCGGTTTTTAATATCAGTTTGCGTAAGGTCTCTCGTTTCCCATCGAAATGCGTACAGCTTGTGAATATGAATAAGTACAAACTTACCTTAAGTGTCTCCCATATAGGAAATTGAATAAGTGAAAATGGGATTTCGCGCGTGACTGTTCCAACATACCCACGATAAAGACCCCGAAGTCCCTAGTGATGAAAAGTTTTAAAAAAGTAATTTACTTCAGAAGAAACCGCCTCTCTAAAGATTCGGACGACGGATCGATCACCACAATTCTGGGCTCTTTGCTTGACAACTTCGCATGGAACTCTTACAATACAAGCACTCTAAGATTCGAATGAGACAGCTTACTATTTCTCCAACCGTTGCGCCGATCGACAGGAACAATGGATTATTCAGCCCATTCTCTCTAAGGATCGACTTAACACATTCGTAACTAGTAAAGAATATGGCAGCTTGACGTGAAAGCAGACTGGCATACCCCCGGGGGCTGAGCCAATAAGGACAGCAGATAGACCAGAGAAGAGCTTCAATGATTTAAAAGAACGTCTAATTCCGCCTTCAGAGCTTTGGAGTCTGGTTTTAATTGTGTCGATAGGAAATAATGTCACATCAACGGTGAGTCCAGCCGCTGCACCTGCCTTATTTATGAAATTGTGAATAAGTTACCAGCATATTAACAAAACTTTCCATCAACAGTGACAAGAGAGAAGGCCTGCAACCATACGAACTAAGCGCAAGGGAGCACGGATTATAGTAACAAACCAGAACGAATGTTAATGAGCAACTAAATATTATAAATAAAGAAATATAATTAAAACTTAGAAAATGTAATAAAGATAAGCGATAAAGGAAAAAACTAAAAAGCAATTTTGTAAATCAAATTAGGAGGCTAAAAATACCCTAATTCAAATTCGCATTGTGCAGGATAACCGAATATTTTTTTTAAA